GAGGAGGACAGAAGAGGCTGTCAGATCCCCTGGGACTGGAGTTACAGACAGTCGTTAGCTGCCATATGGGTGCTGGGATTCAAACCCAGGTCTTCTGCGAGAATAACCAGTGTTCTTAACCACTGAGCCATCTCTCCAGCCCCCAAGAGAGTCTTAACTTTAGGAAATGGAGGCCTCTGACATAGATGAAGTGTGAGCTAGCTTTGTTTTCTACCAGATACATGATCATTAGCATCGACTATCTAAAGGGAAAACTTACAGGTTGCAGAAGAACTGGTAGCATGCTGTTCTTTGTTCTAGAAAGTGATAGGGACTTATCCACTGTTTAGTGGTGCTGATTGCCTATAGAGGACTCTGCCTCACTGACCCCCAGTCCAGGCCATCCCCCTTTAGGTGACTGTGGACACTAGGCTCCCCTCAGGAGGAGTTGGGACAGTTTGTCTGGAGTCCTGTGTTTGCCTGGACCTCTCCCACCTCCAAGTGATTCTACCCGTTTAAAGTTTTTGTTTATTTGTATTTTTAGGTAAAGTCTCATGTAGTTCAGGCTATCATCGAATTGTATATATCCAAGGATGATCTTGAACTTTTGATCCTACCAAGTGCTGGGATTACAGGTGTATACCGCCACACTCAGTTTATGCAATGGTAGGGACTAAACTCAGGGCTTCATTCATGCTAGGCAAGCACTCTACCAACTGAGCTATATCGCAAAGCCCCTGCTAAATATTTATTGAGTAGTTCACAGTGTCCTGGCAACTGAATAGAAGATTTTCCCAGCCTGGTCCTCCCTCTAGGAGTTTAAGTGCATTATACCAGGTTCCTCACCAACCAGCACACACACCACCAGTACATTTACCATTTATGTTTGGGGAACTTGTCTCTTCTTGCATGGGGTCTTTGGAGTTCTAGCAATATACCAGATTCTAGAATGTCCCAGTCAAGAATAATTCTTAGGAAGCATTTTTTGGAGGACAGTTGGGTGGCTCGTGGCCAGCAGCTGTCTTGGCATCTGGCCCCGTGAGCTGGATGGTACTGGAGAGCCCAAGGCCCTGCTGGTTTCCTGCATCCATCTTTGCAGCTGTCCCTCCTAGAGGTAGACCCAGGTCCCTGATAAGACACTGAGAAGAAGCAGAAACTGGTGCTTTTCCCAGATACCAGCTGGTCTGTGTGGGATGTGTTTATTGATCACTTGCTATGTGGCAGGCCTTGATGCTGGAACCACAAAATGAACAAGCCTATGTGCTCAGCCTGGTTAAGGAGGGAGGGAACCAAGCTGGGGCTGGGTCTCTGGGTAGTGAACCAGCCGCACTGAATCCCGGGGGTTGGAAACAGAAGGATAGCCCATACATTGTGTGCTCACAGTGACACACATGTGTTCTCCTCTTTCCTTCCCTCACCTTATACAGATCTCTTTTTTATGACCCTGAATCCTTTGAGGTTCAAGGAGAGCTGAGGAGTTGTTTAGGTTGCTTTTTGGTGACCAGGTAGGATATGCAAAAAATTGGGGAGTTAAAAAAAAAATCACATATGCCAAGTATGATGGTACGTGCCTACAATACCAGCACTTTGGAAAATAGAAGTAGGAAGATCAGGAGTTCAAGGTTATCCTTGACTAGAACAGTGAATTTGAGGCCAGCCTCAGCTATAGGAGACTGTCTCAAAAAATAAAAACAAGGGGTTGGAGAGATGGCTCAGTGGTTAAGAGCACTGGCTGCTCTTGTAGCGCTCTCAGGTTTGGTTCCCAGCACCCACATGTCAACTAACAACTGTCCATAACTCCAGTTCCAGGGGATCCAACATCCGCTTCTGGCCTCTACGGGCATTGCATTCATGTGTATGCTTACATACAAGCAAAACACTCATACACATAAAAACTGAAACTTAAAAAAATATTTTCAAAAACAGAGGGTATTTATTGGGGAACCCAAGGAGTGTAGATCATCTTTAATACACAGCCAGACATTCTAAAGAGGGGTTTACATAAATATCACATGAATGAGTCAGAAAAAAACAGTGTGCCTTGGATCAGCTGAGTTGGTAAGCAGTTGCTGGGTAAGCAGTTGCTGGGAGGGTCTCAGAATCCTCTGTGGCCACAGTGCTTCTGCTTTACCTAAAGCAAAAGGCCAGAGAGCTGTGGCTATGCTACAGGTTGTGTATAGGAATCTTATAGCAGATCTTCTAATGAAGGTTCCATCCCTGATGATCTAACTCATACATTTTCCAAGTCAGTCAGAGCAGGATTGGAGGTCAGGTGATTGATGGCACCCACTAATTTCACCTACCCTAAAAGGAATCAAGTACAAGTAGAAGAGGACAGGGACTCTTGTCAGGGGCATCTGCAGTCCAGAATCTTTGAGGAACTTGGCTTCTGTGAAAAGGGGGACACACAGCCGGGCATGGTGGCGCACACCTTTAATCCCAGCACTTGGGAGGTAAAGGCAGGTGGATCTCTGTGAGTTCAAGGCTAGCCTGGTCTACATAATGAGTTCCAGGACAGCTGGGGCTACAGGGAGACCCTGTCTCAAAAAGACCAAAAAAAAGGGGCGGGGGGAGACATGCTTCTGCAGCCTCATAATCATACACACTGGGCAGCCACAGAGACTCTGGCAGGTCTGGCCCCAGCCAAGACCAAAGGGCCTCAGAGGTCACCAGGTCCAAGTCTCCCTTTTACAGACAAGAAAACTGAGGCTCAGAGATGGGAGGCTTCACTGGAGGTCCTGCAGTGAGCTAATAGCAGATAGACCAAGAGATCTTTCATTCTGAGCAAACGGAAGAAAGGAGCTAGGCCTGAGTCAGGGTCCTGCCTCTATTGGGGGTGGGGGGAGGACTTTCTTTTTTTATGAGACAGGGTTTCTCCGCAGCCCCAGCTGGCCTAGAATTCATTGTGTAGACCAGTTTGGCCTGGATCTCACAGAGATCTACCTGCCTCTGCCCCACTAAGAGCTGGGATTAAAGGCATGGGCCACCATACCCAGGCCCAGGGACCTTTTCTTATGGTAAGAACTATGTTCCTCCCCCAAACAATCTCTGTACCCCTGATAACTTTTTGCCACCGCTGCCTCTTCAAACCCAGAGGAGATGAGAGTTCCCGACCAGCAGAAAGAGGTGCCTGAGAGGCTCCTGAGCAAGGAGCTTAGTATTCAAGTCCAGCCTGGCCTCAGCAGAGAAGTTTCTGTGGTCTCATTGCCCCTTCTGGGTGAAAAACAGCCAGATGCTCCTGACTCGGCGATCACTCAACTTCCCCGGCACCATCCCACCTGCCCAGCCCCTCCTCCACCAGCTGGCCCTCAGGAGCCCACCCAGGAGTGGGGACCAGAGCCTGGGGATCATGCCAAGGCCGACCTGGCTGTTCTGAAGCCTTCCTCTACTGGATATCTCCCCATGGAGACAGAAGAGGTCGCGTTTCTCCCAGAAAGCTTGCTCAGGGAGCCAGGGCATGGTGAAGGCCAGGCCCCAGACCCAGGGGTCCCAGATTGGATCTGCCAGCCCATGCCTGACATGTCTGGGGCTCCACTTCTGCCACAAGGCCTCAGAGAGGCCACAGGCCAACCTTCAGGGACAGGACCTGAGCATCTAGAAAGAAGCCATCCAACCTCTGAGCTGCTGATGTACCAACTTGTGGGAGACAAGGACCATCAGGGGCCACCTCAAAAAGATGATCAGGGCAAAGACAGGCTGGGGGCTGAGACAATAGGTGAAGATCTGGACATGGACGAGTCATCCCAGGACTCCCCTTCCTCCCAGGCCTCTCCTCCATCCCAGGCCTCTCTGGCCCTAGGCAGGGCACCCACTCAGGCTGTATCTAGAGAGGCCACTGGCATGCCTGGGTTCCCAGATGAGGGTGCCATCCCACTTCCTGTCGATTTCCTCTCCAAAGTCTCCACAGAGACCCAGGCCTCGCAGCCAGATGGGCCTGGCACAGGGCCTGTGGATGAAGGGCACGAGGCTGCCCCTGAGTTCACATTCCACGTGGAAATCAAAGCCAGCATGCCGAAGGAGCAGGATTTGGAAGGGGCAACACTGATGGGGGCCCCTGGAGAGGAGCAACAGGCCCAGGGCCCCTCTGTGGGAAAGGCCACCAAAGAGGCTGGTCTTCTGGAACCATCCGAGAAGCAGCCTGCATCTGGCCTGCCAGGAAGGCCAGTCAGTCGGGTCCCTCAACTCAAAGGTCTGTGGTTTAAGCTCCCTCACTCCTCCCCTGGTACCTTCCTGTACCACCAGGCTGTGGGCACTGTTACTTGGCTTCTGGTCCTCCTTGACTCCTGTACCCAAGGTTCCGGGATAGCCACTAAACCTACCACCTGGGCCGACGCTGCTCCCCTCCCCAGCCTTTGCCCTTCAGGCTCTGGTAGCACGAGCTCCTCTCACGCTTGCCCACATTCTGCATGTCACCAATGCCCCTACCCTGTGCTTTCTACCCTGTTTGGTTCTCTGTCCTCTTGATATGTCCACCATGGTCCACCCGCCCACCAGAGGTTGGTAGGCACACTGCACAGAGATAATAGTCATTGCCCGCCCCCCAAGTTGCATTTGACAGGCCAAAACCACATGTGCAGAGGTGGCCGGGAGCCTAGCAGCCCCCACCCTATCCTGCTTATGGCAGACATAATGAACAAAAACATCTTCCAATTCCAAAAAGTCCAGCCTCTTGGGCAGGGACAGGCTAGGTCCCTGTATGACACCCCGCCTGGAGCCCTCTAGAGATTGAAGGGGTGGGAGAAGCCTCCAGGAGAGTACATTCATAGCTTTAAGATTTTAGAATACTGGGGTTGGAGAGATGGCTCAGTGGTTAAGAACACTGGTTGTTCTTGCAGAAGACCTGGGTTCAAATCCCAGCACCCACATGGCAGCTAACAACTGTCCATAACTCCAGTTCCAGGAGCTCCAATGACCTCTTCTGTCCTCCGTGGGACCTCTTCTGTCCTCCATGGGCATTGCACAACGTGGGTGCACTTACCTACATGCAGGCAATGCACTCAAACACCTAAAATAAAAATAATCAATAAACTATTTTAAAGTTTAAGGTGGGTGGCCAGGTGTGATGGCACACATGCTGAGGCCAGCCTGGACTACACAGTGAATTCAAACAAACAATAAAACTAAGGTGGGGGGGGGAGCCTATGTCCTGTTTTAAATTCCAATTGTAGAGGACAAACGACTGCCTTGAATGTTTTACAAAGTAATGTTCTATGGAATTCTGGTTCACCAGATGTCAATAGATGTATCTGAGGCAGGGGTAGGGAGGATAGAGTTCCACGGCACAGTGAGTTGAGAACAGAACAGGCTACACAAAGTTCAACAGCTGTTACTGTTGTAGGACTTGTGAGAGTCCTTAATGTGTTGATGCATTTTAGAGGGTTGAGTGACCCTCTAAAAAGGATTCGTACTCTGTATTTCCCAAACATATTTGATGCTACCTACTAACATGTCCTAGAAGAGGGCATGTTGAATCCTATCCAGAGTCCAGAAATGCTGATCTAGCAGGTGTTTTTGAGGCCCATAGATAATGCCGATTTGCTATGATTGTGGTGGTAGGTACAAGTGGGGATTACTTGGTCAGTCAGTGTTCCAATGTCACTGTGCTCTGGAACAATTGCAGCTGAAGCTTTTGTGGCTAGTGACAGCTGGTCTTGAAGCAATGATGGTCTTTGCCCTGAGTCAAAATGGTTCAACACAAGCCATCTGCCCTAAACTGGCATCCAACAGGCTTGATTTTGGCAAAAGAAGAAATGCACGAGACCCACTTGGATTCCTATTACAATGCAGATTTCTGGGTGCCCATTAGGGTTGAACACCCAGCCTCACTGCACCTAGGAGTCTGTGTGTTAACAGCCTCCCCAGGCAATTCTGCCACAGTAAACTGGGGAAACCTCTGGGTTGGAGCATAAGCACTGGTCATTCTAGAAATCCAGTCTTCAGCCACCTGCGGGGAACCACAGGTTACCAGTGGTTCTGAGATCCTGTGAGTAGACAGATCCAAGGGTATAGCCTCCTTTGGTGTCCCTCAGGAGTGGCAAGACACCCCCAGGATTAGGTCAAAATAAGAGGAGTTTCTTTGAAAGCAGCTGGGGCTAGCAGTGAAGGATTAGTAAGTTGCTTTGGGTTGCATCCCATAACAAAGATGCAGATATCTCCACCAGGCTTATCTATTCTGTGGTAGGTGACCCACAGTGGGAGATTGGGTGGTCATCATGAGGTGGCCAGGAAGGTGGACATGAAGATCACTTTCAAACTAGAGGCATGGGGCAGGGGAAATCAGAAGTGGCTTCAGGCAGGCCTTGAGGATCTCACAGGAAACCAAGACTGAGTCTGGCCAACAGAAGACAAATCCTTCTCCCTGATCCTGCAGGAGCCTGAAGCCATGCTGGACTGCCTCCATTCATGGCCTCAGGGTGTTTAAAGGGCCCTGCTTTGAGTGGGGTGGGGTTGGCAGAGAAAGAGAGTGCACCAGCCACAGCCCCATGTCAACATGCACCTCTAACAGCATCTGCTGCATCTCCTCTGCATGTCACCACCCTCGGCCAGCCCGCTGCTCCCTTGCCAGGTTGCTCCAAGCAGTGGCTCTGTGTGTTGTATGATAGATACTAACAGTGATGCTTAGCAGACTGGAGGACAAAGAAAATCAGCTGGGTTTCAACCACCGACCTTGAACTCTCTGGCTCTTCTATGAAAGATGTGAGAACGAAGCATAACGTGCATTCTTATTTTGTATTTTATCAGCTCGCATGGTCGGTAAAAGCAAAGATGGGGCTGGAAATGATGAAAGGAAAGCAAAGGTAAGCCACTGACCAACCAGTCAGATTCACCAAGAGGCTCCGCTTCCAAGCCTGAGTTTGCGCTCATCTGTACTGTGTGGGGAGTGTTTGTCACTGGAGTGCGGCTGTCATTTCAAAGCCTTTGCTTTTAAAAAGGGCAGCATTTCTGTCCTGATACTTACACAGGGAGGGGTGGTCAACAGGTTATTCAGTTCCTGCCCAGGTCCACGCCATTTCTTCATACAGTTTAAATGAAGCTATGTGTGAATATTCTGCAGTAAAGTTGGGGTTTGTACTTCTTACTCTTCCCACTATAGATGTAGGCTCAGAAACATACATATGTACAAGACACATGGAGTATATGGGGGGGGGGCATTGGGAGCAATGAGCAAGGAATGAAGTGATCTCTAGCCACAGGCAGGGAAGTTTCTGAGTGAACCCTTAAAAAGAAGATCTGGGAGGCAAGCAGGAGAGGAAACAGGCTGCTGATGCTTCAGAGCAGGGAACAGTAAGCTGAGGCCTGGAAGCAAACGTTTAAGGAGAATACGCACACAGGCCTGGTTGCTGAGGAGTTCTGCATGGGGCAGAAGGTTATTGAAGGAGCAGAACCTCCTTTAAGTGCATGGAGAAGCATGAGTTGGTATAAATCTTGCCCAAGTGGCCATTTGGGGTGAGCTCTACTTGGCGTTCAGTAACCAAGCCCAGCAAATGAAGCTACCTGCTCACCACAGACCTGCGCCCTGAGTCCTGTCTGTCCTCAGCTTTTCAGCTATAGTCTCTCCCTCCGTGACTGTGTATCTTAGAAAGTCCTCCTGAAGCTGTACAGTGGTGTCTTCCTGCAAAAATCCCACCATGGCCCAGATGGGATCTAGTGAGCAGCCAGTGTGAGTGCTGCCCAGAACATCTGGTTTGGAATCAGTGACAGAGTATGTCCAGATGCAGATGGTGGCACTAGAGCTCAGTAGCAGGGGTTGAAGACCACTCCTGGAAGAGCCTGTTCTATGCATATCAGGGCTTCCTGTCACAGCCTGTACCCACAGAAGCAGTTGGTCATCCTCCACAGACATCCCTGCCCTTGCTTGTCAGTCAAGATGCTCATTTAGTGCTGGGGTGAAGGGCAGGGAGTCCTGGCTTCATGCTTACATGCATGCATGTATTTATCCATTTGTGTAATCACTGGATACACATGGGTACAGAGTCCCTGCCCTGGAATGGCCCACAGTACAGCAAGGAGCCAAACCTATTATACATCTTGGCTGGATGGAGAGAGTTGCCAGTGGAAACGGGCCTTGCCCAACGGGAAAAAGGGGGATGCCAGATCCTACCCTAGTTTTTGTCCTGTGTCACCAACCTCAGGGCCTATATCTGTCCCTTGGGCTCTCCTCCTGGCCGTGGTGGCACAAACTGGGCCTCAGCACTTTCAGTGGGGAATTCAAGAGGATGAGAAAACACAACAGTTGAAGCACAGTGACGTCTCTGGTCAGGACCCTGCTGTACAACTCTGACTTCCCCCAAAGCACTCCAACCTTAGCCTCTCAGCCTTTATTCCAAAAGGTCTAGCCCACACCCTCCACCACACCAGGGCCATATTTCCCAGTCAGAGTCCTCAGAGCCAGTAGGATAAACCGAGGGTGTCAGCCTCTAGCCCTCATGTACCCGGGTTCAAAGAGGCAACCAGCTCCACAGACACCTGTTTCCTTAGGTGGAATATGCTATGGAGTTAACTTTGGTCAAACTGGGATTCTCTAGGTAGCATTAAGATTCGTTTTTATTTGGTTCTTTAATCAAAAATGGTGTGTGTGTGTGTGTGTGTGTGTGTGTGATCTTGGTGGCATCCAATGGAAGCTTTAGATTGGCACTGGCACAATCTTTCTTTGAGCAATTAGGATTCTGTTGGCATGGTGGAGGAGGTGGGTCAGCATGAGTGTCTTCCCTGAAGTTGAGCAGATAGTGGGGTGCATCGGAGTACTTTCTTGAGAAAATACTGGCCCTTCTCTGATGATCTCCATGTACTTACCAAGAGTGAAGCACCTGTCAACCACAGGTCTACAAAATAGAAGACACCAGATGATCCAATAACTAGAGAAAGGGCATACCAGAACTTCTATCCATTTAAAATTTCTATGCTATGTAAGTGTTATTATGTCTGTCCCATGACAGCCATGTAGCATGTGTGTAGCTGACGGATAACACGGTGCTGAGGGCAGGGTAGCTATCCTTTCTTACTGGTAGAAGGGCTATGGAGAGGGCTGCTTTGACTGTGACCTGCCTTCTTTATGTTTAGTTACTGTCCTTTCTCTCAGTTTGTTCCCCTCCCCCATGTGCTGACTTTTATTTTGATTTTATGTTTATGTTTAAGACATCCACACCTTCCTGTGCTAAAACCTTGAGAAATAGGCCCTGCCTTAGCCCCAAACGCCCCACTCCTGGTAGCTCAGACCCTTTGATCAAACCCTCCAGCCCTGCCGTGTGCCCTGAGCCAGCCACTTCTCCTAAACACGCCTCTTCTGTCACATCCCGCACTGGCAGTTCTGGAACAAAGCAGATGAAACTCAAGGTAAGGAAACCACCTTTGGCAAGATCCAGGCTGCTCTACTGTGCTGTTCAAACATTTTATTCAGATACACTGACAGAGCAGCACAGACGGTTGAAGAGGGGACAGGGAGGGAATGGGGCTCAGAACCATGCTTCTTGCTTCCCTCTCCCCTTGGAGCAGCAGGTCCAGAGACAACTGGGGGATCCTAATTTGAAAGGTGAAGCTCTAAGCCAGGAGTTATGTCTACTGCCTGTAATCCCAGTATTGGGAGGCTGAGGCAGGAGGATTCCTGCAAGTTCAAAGCTAGCTTGAGCTGTAAAGTGAGTTCCAGACCAGGCTGGGCTATAGTGTGAGACCGTGTCTCAAAAAATAAGAAGTCAGGTGTAGTATACACCTGTAATTTCAGCACCTAGGAGTATGAAGCAGAGGGATCCCTGCAACTTCCAGGACAGCCAGTGCTACATAGACTCTGTCTCAGCCAGGCGTGGTGGTGCACACCTTCAGTCCCAGCACTTGGGAAGCAGAGGCAGGCGGATCTCTGTAAGTTCAAGGCCAGCCTGGTCTACATAGTGAGTTGCAAGCCAGGTGGGGCGACAGGGAGACCCTGTCTCAAACGAATGAGAAGGAAGGAGGAAGGAGGACGGAAGGAAGGAGGAAGGAAGGAAGGAAAGAAGGAGGGAGGGAGGGAAGGAAGGAAGAAGGAGGAGGAGAGAGGGAAGGAAGGAAGGAAGGAAGGAAGGAAGGGAGGAAGGAAGGGAGGGAGGGAGGGAGAGAGGAAGGGAGAGAGGAAGGAAGGGAGCTACAGCTTTAGCTAGAGTTCCTATTGTAACTGGCCATGCCTCCAGATTGCCCCATGTAGTTGAGTTGTGAAGCCTCCATCCCCACCAATCCTACCAGCTCCTCCTCTCCACCCTCCCTCCAGCACCAGCTCGTGGTCTGTGGTTCATGTGGTTTCTCTTCATACTTCATGCCATGCCCAGGGGTCATCTACTAAGGACCAGACCCATAACCACCCAGATCAGCAGACTGTGCCTGCTCCAGCTCTGGCTCCCAGCCTTCAGCAGGTGTTCATAGCCAAGTGTTCTTAGCACACCTGAAGAGTCACTGACACCCCAGGGCCATAGGGAGAGAGGAAACAGACATAACTTGGCTCTGTATAGTGTCTCTGCTCAGGCTCAAGCATGAGTATCTCCACGGGCCTCCCATCAGTCAGCTGCATCCATAATTAAATCAGAAAATGGGTGTCCACAGAGGTGTGTCTGCCACATCCTGCACATTGATCTCTGAGTGGATGCTGACCCTGATCTTGCTCCAAGCACTACTGAGTTTTTAAACACATGTTAGCACACAAGTCCTCTAGGAAAAAATAGGAATCTGGGTGCTTGACATGGGTGGGCCGTCGGGCTGTGTGCCAGTAAATCATCAGACTCTGCAAGACCTTTCTTGTATCTAGTAAGCAAAGGGCCACCCCAACCTTTGCCTCCTTCCAGAAGAGGTAGGAGGATGGGGTTGGCCTTGCCTTGATGTCAATCACCTTTCCCGATGGTGAAACCCTTTTATCCTGATTCTGTTTATAGGGGGTTGATGGCAAAACTGGAACAAAAATTGCTACACCCCGGGGAGCAGCCCCACCAGGCCAGAAAGGCCCATCCAACGCCACCAGGATTCCAGCCAAGACCACACCCAGCCCAAAGACCCCTCCTGGCACAGGTAAGGATGTTCTCTGGAGTCTTAGTCAAAAAGCTTCCAGAAGATGTAACCCTCACCCCAAGAGGGTGAGGTCACCAACAATAACCGCTGGCACTAACACTGTAGCCTGCTGTACACTGAAGCATTTTTGTCTACTTTTTGATCCTTTTAAAGGCAATTTTTTGAGGTAGATATTGAATCCTTGCTTTTTAATCAATGAAGAAATCTCGCTCATTTTGGGTAAGCATGAGGTAAATGCAAAATCAAATGACTAATGAGTGGCAGGTAAGGGGCATCTCTCCAGGGAGGTAGCCTGTCATAGTTAGTTTTCTGTTGCTGGGCTAAATCACCATGACCAAAAGCAACTGGAGAGGAAAGGGTTTATTTTATCTTACTCTTCCAAGGCACACTCCATCTTTGAGGGAAGTCAGGCAGAATCTCAAGGAACCTGGAGACAGGAACTGAAACACAGATGGGGGAGGAACACTGCTTACTGGCTTGCTCCTCTGACCTGTGCTCAGCCTACTTTCTTATACAACCCAGGACCACCACCTGCCCAGGGGTGGAACCACACACAGTAGGCTGGGGCCTCCCACATTATTCAACAATCAAAATGCCTCAGGCCAGTATAATGAAGGAAATTCCTCAATTGAGATTCCCTCTTCCCAGGTGTATCAAGTTGACAACCAAAGCTAACTATTACACAGCCTGAGCTGTGTGGCCTGTCCCTTTGGAGGAACTGTAAACAGGGCAGGATATCATGGGGAACTTCTCACAACTCAACTCCACATAGCTGTGATGTTAGGAACCTTCTGGCAAAACCCAAGGTTCTTATCTGAGCAGTGGCATGCTGTGGCCATTGCCCTAACCCCTGTGAGTAAAATCCAGTCAGCACTGAGAACCTGGCTGGGTCTTCGTAGAGCTGTTCCATGTCCCATAGAGCTATCAGAAGTGGAAGCCTTTGTTGAACACCCTGGGGTCCTGCTCCTAGAAAGAATTTAGACGCTGCTTGACTCGGGGGTGTCTGGCCTGCATTTGCTCCCTTTTGGTGCTCAGACCTCTGGATTTTGGTACAGGGCATGGTAAAGGACTGGCTCATGGTATTCCTGCTTATCAGACCAGAGGCAGCCACTCACTCAGAGCCTTCTGTTGTCTGCCTGGTATTGTGAAGCATGGTGCCTGTAATGACACTCCCTGCTCAGAGCTATGTTTTCACTGAGGAGCTGTGTGCTGGTGTGTCTTTCATGCACTAATGAACTAGGGTATCAACTGCATGTTGGGTGAGCCTGCTGCTCCCATATCTTCCCCACTAGTCCTTGCACCTGTTCCCTGCTTCTGTCTCTTATGAGAAGTTGACCAGCCAGATACTGCCCCTGAAGAACTCACAGAGACCCTTGTGAGCCTGATTATAATGAGGCTATCTGTGGATTTTTCTTTTTAAGCTGCCAAGCAAATGCAGAGAAAACCACCCCCGCAGGGGCAAAATCTGAGAGAGGTAATCCTGGGCCCACTGCCCTGTGTGGGCAGACCCTCTTGGTGTGTGTGCTGTCCCCGAGCTTGTTTGCAGGGCTGGGAGGACCCATGTCTACAGCCTAGGCTACCCCATAGAGGCTGAGCCTGGAACCCTCCATACTGCATTCTCCAGAGGCATCTGTCTGTGGAATCAAATCCCCTGTGCTCTCACTTCAGAAACAAGGACTGTGATGGGATGAGGAACTTGTGCCTTGAGATATTTGGGGGTACTGGAGGTTTGAATCATCTCTAACCAAAGTTCCACTGGGACAGTCTCACTGGTAGGCAGAGGGTTTTACAGAGTTGGTCCTTTTCGTTTTGTTAAGAAATGGGGTCTTTGAGCTAGAAAGATGGAGTAGCAGTTAAGAGTACTGGCTGCTCTTCCAGAGGACTGGAGTTCAGTTCCCAGCATGCCTATCAGGCAGCTCACAACCATCTGTAACTCCAGTTCTAGGGCATCTGACACCCTCTCTGGCCTCCGTGGGCACCTGCACACACACACACACACACACACACACACACACACACACACACACATACACACACATGAGAGAGACAGAGAGAGAGAGAGACAGAGAGAGAGAGAGAGAGAGTATTTAAAAACAAAAAAGAAAGTAATTAGGGGCTTAATCTTTTGCGCAGGCTGGTCTCTAACTTCTGGGCTCAAGCAATCCTTCTGCCTCAGTCTCCCAAGCAACTGAAACTACATATGTGTGTCACCACACCTGGCTCTACCTGCATTTACTGAGCACCTACCCTGTGTGCCAGACATTGCTTTGGACCCTGCATCTGTAACAACATCACCTTCTCAAAGCACTGTCTTGAGGCATGGAGGGGGGGATTATTGACTCATTCAAGGTCACTCTGCAAGTGACATTGTAGACACAAGCCACAACCACCACACCCACCACAACTCTGTGTCTCTGGGGACAGGTAGGAAGAGCTAAGCCCATGGCAGAGACACCACTTGTCACAGAGCTTGATGGCTTTAGGGACATCTGAGACATGGAACTTGAGACTCTATTCTCTAGACAGAATTGCAATGGCAGTTTACTCTGATGCTTCTTGGGGTGGAGAGCTTGAGAAGGACCAGTTGTGCAGGCCCTGGAGTCTGCCCTATCAGATCTGGAAGGGGCCCAGGAATCTGCATATCACAGGTTCCACTTCCTCCTAAGAACTCCAGAAATTCGCAAAAATAAAACAGGGGTGTGGTGGTGCCTCAGTAAATTCTAAGTATATTGGAGGCATAGTAACACATGGGGGAGGAGGATCAAGGAAAGGATAGAGTCTGTTGCTGAGAAGAGGTCCAAGCAGACTTCCCAGCACCTGATGGTATTTGGAAAGGTATGCGGGTATTAGAAGGGGGAAGAGCATTTTGGGGTGGGAACAGCAAGGTGGAGCTTAGCAATGTGGGCCATGGCTTGTCTGGAGAGCTCTGGGCAGGCAGCCCAGTCCCTATTCTACAACCCCAGCACCACCGAGTTGGAGGAGCCGGCTATGCTGCCCAACAGCCTCAGTTCTTCCTACCCTGTGCGGGGGAAAGGATCAGGAGGGTCAGGGCTTGAGGGCAGTAGTGGGGCCCTGTCACTACATCACCCTTAGTTAAAGGACCGACAGAAGTGAGTGTACCAGAGGCTCCTTTGTGGCAGGCATTAGAATCACATCCATTTCCACACTGAGGCCTCAGAGCTCAGCAAACAGAAGTGATTTATCAGATACACAGCTAGCTGGAACCCATCTCTTGACTTCAGGACTGTGGGGCAGAGTCTGGGAGGATGTGTTGAGTGTTGGGGCACTGATGAGCACCCAGTTGCTTTCTTGAGAAATGGGTATTACTGTATCTAGGTGACAGGGCAGAAACATGCTTCTCCACAAATAGGCTCCCTTGCCAGATCCGCTGCTGAGGCTGGACGTGGCCCCCAGGCTGGGAGCCTCAGAGACTTTGCAGATCTCACCCACCTGGGCTCTCTCCCTCTCCCCCCACCTCCAGGCGAACCACCGAAATCCGGGGAACGCAGCGGTTACAGCAGCCCGGGCTCCCCAGGGACTCCGGGCAGCCGCTCCCGCACCCCATCCCTACCAACCCCGCCCACTCGGGAGCCCAAGAAAGTGGCGGTGGTCCGCACTCCCCCCAAGTCGCCGTCTGCCACCAAGAGCCGCCTGCAGACTGCCCCCGTGCCCATGCCAGACCTAAAGAATGTCAGGTCCAAGATCGGCTCCACGGAGAACCTGAAGCATCAGCCAGGAGGCGGGAAGGTAAGGGCGTGGCCGGCTGGGGGAGTGGTATGGGGTGCAGCCCCCATCCCAGCAGGTGGCTTCCATCAGCCTGGCTTGGCTTCTCCCAGAGCGAACTGGCCACCAAAGCAGTGGTCTACATAGCGAGTTCCAGGACAGCTGGGGCTACTGGGAGAACCTATCTTAAAAATACCCAAAAAAGCTGGGCGTGGTGGCAGAGGCAGGTCGATCTCTGTTAGTTCAAGGATAGCCTGGTCTACATAATGAGTTCCAGGACAGCTGGGGCTACAGGGAGACCCTGTCTCAAAAAAAAAAAAAAAAAAACAAAGGAAAAAAAAAGTAATAATTTTTTAAACAGTGTTTGTAGCCAGCAAGATGGCTCAACAGGTAAGAGTGCTCACAACTTGAGTTTGATCCCTAGGACCCACATGATAGAATGAAAGAATTGACCCTGCAAGTTGTCTTTTGACACCACAAGCACACCATGATGTGACATGCCTGCACACACACACACAAATGCAATAAATAATTTTTTTTTTTTAAACAGGGTCTCTCTGTAGCCCTAGCTGACCTGGATTCACTATAGATACCAGGCTGGCCTCGAACTCACAGAGATCTGCCTTCCTCTGCCTCCCGAGTGCTGGGATTAAAGGCGTGTGCCACCACGCCTGGTGCAATAAATAATTTTGAAGAGTCTGAAGAATATAAACCATGCTTAAGTGGTGTTCACCTTGAAGAAAGGGGCTGGAGGGATCCTGTCTGGACTCAGCAGACACTGAACACCCCAGATCTCCATTTAAATCATCCATTGGCCTGAAAGTGGTGATGACATGCTTGTAATCCCAACACTTGGGAGGCTGAGGCAGGAGGACCCCAAGTTGAAGGCCAGTCTGGACTAAATGCCAAGATCATTTGATTAGAAAACATCGAATCAAATCTAAACATCTCTCTCTGCTTTGGGCTTTTTCTCTTTTCATGATTTACTACAGTGAACATGTTTTATCATAAAACTCCACAATGAAATGGTGTTTAAAGGCAAATGCAGGCAGGCAGATGGCCTTATGAGAGAACCTTCTGGAGAGATGGGAGGGAAGGAGTATGGAACTGGGAGACACAGGGAGCCAGAGCCCCTCAGATGTTCTTTTAAATGTGCTAGAACCTACCTTTGGTGGACCAGAGTATTTCCAATTTATAGTCCAGACTGGGGTCCAGGATCCCCAAATTCTTACCTTCTGACCTCTGCTCCATCCCATCCCCAGCAGTCCCCTGTGCACTGAGATCCTCTTATGGTCTCAACCATGTCCTCATTTGCAGATACTATGCTTAGCTCCTCAGGGAGCCCAGACCCAACCAGGCCAGCCCTGGGCTGTGTGTCCCTGTCCTGAGTTGACCCAGCTCTGTATGGTACCTGAGAGAGTGCAGAGGTCACCACTGAGGTCAAGATAAAGGACCAGCATTTAAAACATATTTTATGTTGATGCGTGCCTTTAATCCCAGTACTTGGGAGAGGCTAGTGGATCTTTGTGAGATCAAGGCCAGCCTCATCTACATACCAAGATCCAGGCCAGCTGGGGCTACCAGGAGACCTTGTCTCTAACAAACAAATGACAAATAAACCCCCACCCAAAAGCTTTTAGGGGGGGGGGCTTTTTGTTTTTTTTGGGTTTTTTATGCTTTGAATAATTTTTTTAATCATTACTTTTTAAAAAAAGTTTTAATAACTACATGATTAGAAGAAGTATTTCACTACAGCTTTAACATATTCAGTAACATACTCCAGAGCAAGAGTACACCTCTTTCACAAGTGGGTGCAAGTTTCTAGGTTCACAGTTGAATTAATACAGTTATACAATATTGAACTCAATATAAGCCCTATAAGACATAAAATTGAATGAGTTTTTAACCTTTAAAAAAGATCTCCATTTCGTTTTGGAATATATTGTTCCTTGCAGAAATCATTGTTTTTGCTAACACTGAGATGTTGGCGCATGCATCTCTAATCTGTATGTATCTGATTATTACTGCTCATAATCGGTTGCACTTGGATCCTTGGTGCCTGTCTATGTCTATAAAGTCATTGGGTAGATTTCAATGGTAATGGTTATCACCTCTACTAATTAGCATGACATAAATTTCCATGCTTCCTCCTCAATTATAATACATTTTTTTAAAATTTGTTGATTTTGTGTGTAGAGATGTTGGCGCATGCATCTCTAATCTGTATGTATCTGATTATTACTGCTCATAATCGGTTGCACTTGGATCCTTGGTGCCTGTCTATGTCTATAAAGTCATTGGGTAGATTTCAATGGTAATGGTTATCACCTCTACTAATTAGCATGACATAAATTTCCATGCTTCCTCCTCAA